CAAGACCAACAGGCAGAGGACGTCCTCCTAAACCGAAGCTGCAGTATCGAGTTCGGTTTCGGCATCACACTGATCCCAAGGAGGACCGATGGTTTACCAGAGAGGAACTCATGCAGACCGCTCCTCAAGCTGTAACTCGATACGAGAAGTCTCTGCGGAAAGGAAAACGCCAGATTATCGAAAACTGAACTTCTCACAGGACTATCGAAGTTATGGAGGAGGGAATGCGAGGCCAAGGCCCCGATGAGCCCCTTTTTGGCCCTGTCACTTAATACGTCGCCCCCTCTAAGTGAAGGCAGGCTCGACGAGGGCCTGAGGGCCCCTATTTCGGACACCACGCAACTGAGGAAAATTCAGCCAGTTGCGCAGCGCCAGTTGGTTGAGAGCACCCAGGCCCAGGCCGCCTGTTCGCATGTATGGAAGGCAGGCCCTGGGCTGGATACAGGGTATGGGCCAAACACAGGCCAATGGCAGTTGGGCACAAGTAACCACCACAGGCCCTGGGCGTGATTCGTATTGGACTGGGCCTCAGCCTACCGGGGCCTACCGGAAGCTTCTTGGAAAAGATCCAGCGCAGCTGCAGGCAGGCCACTCCCATATAGCAAAGGGCCTGCCTCCGCATTGCACATTCGGGCACTGGCTGCCTTGTGCGCAAGCGCTGCTGCGCTATCGCCTGCCAGGCTCACGCGCTCACGGGCGAGCTGGAAGGAGCAGGCAGCCATAGCCGAGCTGCGCTGCTGTATGCTGGATGGGGCGCATGGTGGTCCTTGGGAGCAAGTGGCATCTGTGAGTTGGGGAACGAGGTTGTGAGTGATACGAGAGACATCCTGGTGCTTGAAGCGTGTGGCATTGGCCGAGATCTGCTCGTACTTCGGGGAGCTGTTGACGTCATCAGCGGATTGTACAGTAGGCTAGATAGGATCTGCCATCTGTAGTCTGGGCGCCGAGCGCCAGATAGGATATCAACATTGGTTCTTCGTTGATGATGATGATGAGAGTCATGAGACTATTCCAGCATTGTCAATTATGAGCTATTGGTGTGCTCTTATTTGGTGAAACTCGTGATGCAATTCTCTTCTT